CTGACCAAAAATGCCAAGGAGAAACTAGATGACAGGTATGTGAATTTTCATTACACCAATATTTTAAAAATACTTTTGAAATTTTCTTTATATTAAAAAATAGCTTAGCTGAGATCCAGTCCTAGCCTAGGGCCAGAGAGTGTGTGGGAGAGCTTCCGGCTACCCTGCACCTGCGGGAGCTACCATCCCAACCCAGGCGCAGAGTGGGTGAGACCCTCTTCCACCCGCTTGGGATAAACACACCACTCCACAGCACTTCCCCCACCCTGCCTACCGAGTAGCAATTTTTGCCACATTCTTGGAACGCATCTGAAGTAAAGAATCAACTACAGAAACACAGGGAGGGAATCCAATCTGAAAAAAACACTGCAGTAAAAGAATTTATAACTGCTTCTAAAGAAGACATAGATAAAAAATAGAGGAGATTAGAAAAATGATGGATTCCTTGAATAAGCAATACAGGAAAGAAATAGATCACATGAAGCAGAGTCAAAGACATAGAGGAATTTAAAATCTCAATCACAAGCTTGCAAAACCATTTAAGTGAAAGTGAACACAGAGTTTCAGACCTTGAAGACACTGGTGCAGCTAGTGAAAAGGTAGTAAGAAAGGCTCTCTTAATAACAACAGGGATGCAGGAAAAAATAATCCATCACCTGCAAGATGATGCAAAGATGAACAATGTGAGACTAATAGGCATCAACGAGAAAGGAGAGTCAACACAAAGGACATTAAAAAAATATGGGCAGAAGTAATAGCAGAAAACTTCCCAAATACGAGGAAACAATCTGACATCCAGGTACCCAAAGCATACAGAATGCCAAGTAACCTCAATCCCATGAAAAACACACTGAGACATATAATAGTCAAGATCCCAGAAATTCATCATACGAATAATATACTGAAAGCCACTAGAGAAAAGAAGCAGATCACATTCAAAGGAAAACCCATCACAATTACGGATGACTTCTCTTCACAAACCATGAAGGCAAGACGAGCATGGAGTAGAGTACTTCAAGTCCTCTATGAAAAGAAATTCCAGCCCAGACTAATATACCCTGCAAAACTCTCTTTCAAGTTTGATGGAGAAGTGAAATACTTCCATGACAA